TATATATATATATATATATATATATATATATATATATATATATATATATTATGCGTAAGATTTCAAAATAAATTGAAAAGTGGATTAAAATGAAAGAAAAAAAAAATAAAAACAACTTTTTTTTTTCTCCCCAAATTGAAGAACACAACGTTAAAGTCTTAATTGCTAAAAACAAGTTTGGTCATTCGAATTTCGAAGTACCGTAATGGACCCATAAGACTAGTAGGTCTAATTTTGTTTTTATTTTTTTTAAAAACTTTTACCGTTGTTTTTTCAAAATCAAGTCCAAACTTTTACATATTGCGTTTTGAAAAAAAATACTAATTGAAGTGAAGGGTTTTTTTTAAACAACAAAGAACTGGGTCAACTATTCAATCAAATGATATTGAGCATGTTTCTCACCTCTTCTCGATAAACAAGTGGGCTATTTCTTTGTAAAATTGTGCTTGATTTCATATGTGACAATTCCCCTAAGATCTCTTCGTTAGTTGAGGGAAGAATCCGTCCGAATCAGATTTTCGACCAGATATTCAATCAACAATTGGTTCTTCTATGGATCCATCGTAGATATGATACCGTTAAATGAATATAAAAATCTAATAAAAAATATAAAAATCTCAAAATTCGAAGAACAAAAAAAAATTAAATGTAAGTTGAATGTATTATGGCATCTCGAATGGAGTTTCTTATAAGAATCACGTTGTATTTGTGTTTGTCACATCATCAAATTAAGAACGTACATAAATGATAAAACTTTACAAGGGTAGTTCTTATAAGAACCTATTTACTGGGTTCCATCCATTTTTTTCAACATCAATAATAATAATAATATTATAAATATAAATGCAATATAATAAATAAAAAGACTGACAGAAAAGTCACTTCACAGTTCACACCAATTTCAAGGTAAGAACCAAAGTTTTTTTATAAGAACTTAAAGGAGGTGAGGTTTTTATAAGAACTAGAATACTGGTTCTTGTAAGAAGCTAATACTTTTACTTACAAGAACATTGCACTGGAAATGCTCTTATGATATTACGTAATCTTTAATTAAAAATTTATTAATATATTAAATTCATTATATAATTATTGTTAAATACATCAGTAGATAAATGTGTATTATTAAATACACCTCTATATATTGTTAAATGCATCAATATCTATTAATTTTCTCTTTAAATTCAATAACAACAAACTTTTTTTTATATATTTCTGATACATAATTTGATTTAAATTTAACATAAAAAAATGAGTAAATTACAAATTTCGTCTATGTGGTTATATGAAAATCATGGATTAGGTTCCCCTAAACAAAATAATTACATATATCGTCACTGGGGTTTCAGTTTTGTTATGGATTAGGTCCCTGCCTTTAACTCTGTTAACTTTACTTTCGTTAAATCAAGGACTTTTTTGTCTTTTTACCAATTAATTCTATTTTCTTTTACAGAATAAAAAAAGTATATGGCTTTTATTATATAATATGACACACACACATGCATACGTATAAACAGAAACACGCAAAACCATATAGATCCTCGTCGGATACCTCCAGTCTCCAATGTTCTCTCTGATCACCTCCACGCATCAACGTCCTCCTCCAATCTCCTCCATCCTGTCACATCATCGTCCTCCTTTAGTCTCCCTCCTCCCAGCACATCTCCGATCTCCTTCCTTCCCCCACCGATCACTCCCCTTTTTTGTCAATTCCATCCTTCCCGCCACACTTGTGGTTATACAAGTGACTATGACAACACCACAACGATGACCAAGACAACCCACATCAAATGACCCATATAACCCATCGCAAGCAAGTCATCCTTTTTTTTGAGAACCCCACCCTTCAAACCTCGATTTGATGCAAATCCAGCGAGAAGAGGTAAGAAGGTCACCTGTAGTTCCCCAAACCGATTTTGATGCAAATCCACCAAATGGAACATGTTACTTAGGGGCTGTTTGGCGGTTGCTGAATGGTTTGGTGCAGAATGGTTAAGTGGTTAGAATGGTTAAGAGGGTCAGAATGGTTAAGTGCTGAATGAAATAATGTTGTTTGGTAATTATTCTCTGAATGACAACAAATTACCATTTTAACCCTCTCCTTTTTTACCTTTTAATTGTGGGATCCTGAACTAGTTTGTTGCTCTCTAAAATTTTTAGTGATCATCACTGTTTCATTATGCATTTACCTAACAACTAAAAACTGAAGAAAGAAAACCTAACAACTAAAAGCCTAAATAGGTAAATTCTTGCTCTCATTTCTATACAAGAAGAGGTGAACATGAATTTCTTTAAAAATTGAAGAAAGTAGTGAGTTGATCTACATCTAAATAGCAATGTTCCTCTGTTTTTCTCAGAACCATTTCGATTTCTAATAAGTCAAGTTGAAAGTAATATATCGAAAATCATGCAGATATACTTGAAATCGAAGCTGTGATACTGTTAAAGGACTGGCAACCGGCGACCAAAATCATCCCAAACGGAAGATACTTGAAATAGGGGAGACAGAAGATACCTGATGGAGGCGACAATCGAAGCTGTGGAAGGCGACCAACGATAGAGACGGTGGAGGTCGCCGGCGATGGAGACGGTGGAGGTCGTCGGCGATGGAGACGGTGGAGGTCGCCGACGATGGAGACGGTCGAGCGACAACCGACGAACATGTGCAACGCGACGAGTTCTCGTGAAGGTAATGATGAGTGGACAGCTGGAAGAGGGGTGTGAAAGGGTAAAGAGGGAACAAATGTAATCTGAATGGTTTAGTGAACCCCTAGACTCAAAATGGTTAAAAGGCTAGTGTAACCATTAAGAGGTTTGTTTTTTTGCCAAACAAACCTACCTCTTACCGATTAAGAGGTTGCCTCTTAATGTCACCATTAAGAGCCAAACAAACAGCCCCTTAGTGTTGCACCATTATAGGACCTGTTATAGTTTGTTGTATATATATGTATGGTTGGTTGTCTTTCTTCATCACCATATATGCAAAACCCATTCATATCACTCTGTGTATTCAACTTGTTTATAGTATGATTTCAAGTTTAAGACTAACTACATCCCATGAGTTATGCTTTAACTATGATAACAACAAGAACAAAAGTTTAAGACTAAGGGGTCGTTTACCAAACGCTTACTCGTGTAAGTGAACACTAAGTCATTTTACCTTACCGGATGAATATGACAAGGATCAAGAATCTTACCCAGTGAGAGCGAGACAATGATCAAGAGTCTTACCCAGTAAGTGAAGGCGACGACTCTTACCACGGTAAGCGCTTACCGGGTAAATTGTTGCATACAATACCATTTTGGTGGAATAAAATCTTATCCGGTAAGTAAATGATAGTGTTAAATTTACCAGTAAGTACTTACCGGATAAGTATTTGGTAAACAACCCCTAAATGAATACCTTCTCAGGATGAACAACAAAAATAGAAGTTGAAGACGAAGAAAATAAAAAACAGTATGGTGGTCGTTGATGAACGATAAAAACAAAAACAAAAGTTGTGGCCATCAATGAATCTGGTTTCGATTTTCGATGACTTGATAAACTCGGTTTCAATTTATCGATGAATCTGGTTTCAATTTTCCGATGACCCGATGAACCCAGTTACAATTTATGGATGAATCTGGTTCCGATTTTTACAATGACCTGATGAACCCAGTTTCGATTTATAGATGAATCTGGTTTCAATTTGAACCTAGTTTCCATTTCTTGATGAATTCACTCAAAAGCTTCAACCGCACTCATGATTGATCTGAGTTCCATCTTAGTCAAACATATAATATGTATACTATTTTTAATGTTTTTAAAGTGAAATGACCATGTTACCCTTAATTTAACAGAGGGATCCAGTCTGTAATCAAAATGAAACCATGATAACTATACATTATAATTATTTTGTTTGAGGGACTCAATCCACAATTTTAGATAACAGTAGGGACTAAATTTGTAACTTCCTCTAAAATAATTTCCTACACCAATATATATAGGTATAGGAAGGTGTGATATTTTGGGGGTTTGGGAGTGTGAGTTGAGTGCACGGCAGTTAGCGTGAGGACATAAATAAGGCAAGCAGGCAGTGCGACACTGCTACTGTTTGTTGTTGTGAAGACTCAACATCACGTGCTTCATCCCCTTTCTTCAATCTCTCATGAAGGTAAGTTCTTCATTCATCCATCAATCTCTATCTTTGATTTCATTCTTATCTGCTTTTTCAATTTCGATTTCGATTTTGATTTGGATTTCTTGACGATCTTCATGCGAATCCCTCGATTTTGTTTTCAACTTTCTGCACATCACAACTCTGGATGAAACCAAACAGATGTATCGATCCTTTGTTGAAATGGGTCGGAAGAAGAAGAACAAGAGGCTTTTCATTTTCAGAGGTTTTTCCCCAACTCACCCACTTTAGATTTTACAGTTTCTAAGGTTTTAGGTGAATCATGTAAACTAATTAGATCGAAATCATTGAATCCTTTTTTCATCGGCACTGATTTCGCTAAAAATTGGTTTAAAATTTTGTTACTGTTTTTGTTCCTGATTTCAAAGTCCGTATTGATGAAATGAACTGGTCTTTGATTCACTTTTTTTTTTTTTGTTAATGTTTCCTGATTTTGCAGAATGTAGCCATATGTATGGGCTTCCTTTGCGTTGATCTTCTGTTAGTTGTTGATTGCTGGTATCCGCCATTGTAGACTGCTTTCCCTAAATAGAATTAATGTGATAATGGTTGAAAATGGAATCGTATGCTACCATGCTTTATTTAGTAAGATTGTCGAAGAACAGTTGGTTGATCTGAACGATTTATTAGGTTTTGGAAAAGTTTCTAGTCGTTAGAGGAGTAGAGAATTCAATGTCAATTTAGCAAACATCTAACTATTTCACTACAATTATTGGAAATTCTGTGTGGAAGAATGTGTCTTTTTTGATTTCGGTTTTCGGCACTTATGCATTTGGGAAGGAAAAGAAAGGGATTGGATCCCGTAGCATCTTCTCGACACAAACCAACCCCATCTAGAGTCCTTTGGTCACATTTCTCGTTGGGAGACCATTCGAGAAGAACAAAGAAGTGCAAGGAAGGAGTAGGACAACGAGCTAGCTATCATAACGGTTTCGTCACCGGAATCGCCACCGCCCCACCTTTTGTTAACGTGTGTTCAGACCCTCATGGAAGGGGTCTTAAGAGGAAAATTGGGTGCCTCGATGCAGCCACTCGAATGGGTAGGAAGAAGAAAATCGAGCAAGATTTTGAACTCGGTGAAACTATAGGCCAAGGGAAGTTTGGATCGGTGGTGAAGTGTCGGAATAAGACCAGTGGGGAAGAATTTGCATGCAAGATTTTAACCAAAGGGGAGGAGATTGTTCATAGGGAAGTCGAGATTATGCAGCATCTTTCTGGTCATCCTGGTGTGGTGACACTGAAGGCGGTTTATGAGGATGATCGATCTTTTCATCTTGTTATGGAGCTTTGCTCTGGCGGGCGGTTGCTTGACCAGATGCGGAATGACGGTTTGTTTTCAGAGCAAAAAGCTGCGAATTTAATGAAGGGATTGATGTTGGTTCTTAAATATTGTCATGAAATGGGTGTTGTTCATCGTGATGTAAAGCCCGAGAACATCCTTCTTTCGTCATCTGGTTTGATGAAGCTTGCAGATTTCGGGTTGGCTGCTAGAATTGCTAATGGTACGATTTCTGCAATCATACACTACGAAAAAAACGGCTTTATAGGTTGTCAAATATGTCCAAATGTTCTAATAGACTGCTTTATAAGACTTAAGTCTATATCACCAAACAATTGGGCGTCATGTGTAAAGGTGTTCCTATAAGATACTAGACACTTTTAGATATCCCAACAAGTTTTTCTAGGAAAAGTTCAATTAGCTTTTGCATAGGATGTTTTATTTCAAAAATGTCCTAAAAGTATGTTAGGATGCCTAAAAACGTCATATCAACTTACTGTAACATCTTTACACATTATGCACAATTGTTTGGTGATAAACTTAATTCCTATAAAGCTATTAGGACGGTTAGACATATTTGGTGTCTTATAATGCCCATTCTTGTTGTAGTATGAAGTTTCTTTATTCTATTTCTATGTATGTATAGAATTACGAACAAGTAGAAGTGTTCTTTATTACAGGTCAAAGTCTATACGGTGTGGTTGGAAGTCCTGCCTATGTTGCCCCAGAAGTTCTGATGGGTGGTTATTCAGAAAAAGTGGATATATGGAGCGCTGGTGTGCTCCTCCATGCAATTTTGGTTGGTTTTCTTCCATTTGGTGGTGAGTCTGTGAATACAGTGTTTGAGGCGGTCAAGAATGTGTCCCTTGATTTCCAAGGTGGAGTATGGGAATCAATATCTCAACCTGCCCGTGATCTGATTGCACATATGCTAACAAGAAACGTATCCAAGAGGTACACGGCTGAGGAAGTACTACGTAAGTGGTGGATACTATCTTTTTCTATTCACATATGAATAAGTTCCATTTGATGTTCTATTAACCTATGCATATATGTTATACCAATGCTTTGCTGAAACCTTTCGAAGTCCACAAGGAAATTACTTTTTGTGAAGCATAAATTTGTTTTATTCACAAATTGGCTTTTCACAAACTGAAAGATGATTTAGTCTTGGAGCAATCAGTTAGTCATTTGTAACAGAAAGATGGTTTGAGCTGAGGAGTTCTTCTTCACCCTTTTGATGCTTGCTGGTCCTGTTAAATGTTCTGAATCATATCAAGATATCATTTTTTGAGGAACCAACAATACATACTTATGTCTATATTATTCATGATGAATAACCATGAACCTTGTTCATTATATCGTGCATTTTCATCATGAATATTTATCACGAAAATGAATAAATCATGAATACTTGGTTCCAAGTTTTCAAAATATTTACGATTTTCATTTGAACCTGCCCTTATGTCTCTATTTCGTCTTTTTTGAAATTAAGCCTTTTTGAAAGAAACCCAATTCGTTTAATCAAAGAAAAACTCAATCTTTTCTTGTTTGGGTTTGTCTTGAAATTAAGAACTTCAACGTCTTCGTAAATTTTAACTGAGGCACTGAATACAATTGTTCTTTAATTAGTCTTAGGATGATGAGTTCCTTTATCTTTTTAGTTAATGGCCTCACGAATTCTTGCTCTTATTTTCTAACAACTTCATCCTTTTTGTTCATTAGGACATCCTTGGATCTTATTTTACACGAACCCAACATTAGAGTCCCTAACTTTCAGTTCCAGAGTTCAAACCCGTAGTTTCTTGACTTCACGACAGCTGACAGAAATGCTAGAAGTGGAGTCCGAGAGGAACGTTAACGCCTCCTTCAATGACAACTCTACTCTAACGTTCCCACCTGAAGAAGAAGATTGTTACATGGTCGATGTGCTTGCTTTGGCTATTTCACGAGTAAGAATCTCCGAGCCCAAAAGAAGCAGGATTTGCAGTCCCACGAATCCAGTGCAACAGGAACATTCCTCCAACATTAAGATAACGAGTCTCTGTACAGCATTTTGACTGCAAGAATCTATTCAAGAATTGCTCTCATTTGCTTTTCATGTGGCTTCAAGATGGTACGTATTCTGAATTCCGTTGTGTTGTGGGTTGTGTTTCGTAAATAGAATGGTTTGTGATTCTGTACAAGCGTGTGAGGCCGGAAATAACGGTTTATATTCAACTTTCAAGTGTGAAATAAGATCTGTATTTGATTTCCTTCCACTGTTACTCGCGCATGAGAGCATCACTTTGTGTTGAACTGATAAAACTGGTCTTTCTTTACAAATGTATATTGTTGAATCTGTAGATGATCAGGAAATAGAGTTTTTGAAGACTCAAGAACCATTGGAGGCTTGTGGACAATATCCCTTTTTTTTTTTATTAACCTGATATCGAACCCGCTATACGAGCCGACTAATCCCGAGCCGACTAATCCCAGGACGACCACCTACTTTGTAGATAGTCCGGAGTCACCGCATTTGAACCTCCGTGGCCACAAGAGGATTTTTATTCTTCCTTGGATTTGAACCTAGGACCTCCAGGTACTTTTGACCTTTGGAGCCAAACTCAAATCAATCAGACACCATCCTTGTTGTTTGACAATATCCCCTTTGATTAGCCATAAATTGGTTTTGGGTTTTTTTTTCTTCCAATTTTTGATATTAATTCTTGCTCCTATTTTTTAGATTGTTTATTGTAACATCGATATTACACTAAAATAAAAATACCACTTGACAAGAATATTTAACCGATAAAAAAAAAAAAAATTCACCCGAATCCAAGACGGGATACGATCCACCAAAAGTTAAGTTTAGTTTGACTGGTAAGTCAAACGTCCCTCGAAATAGATTAAACAACTTACAAACTAAGACTTTTACAAACCAAAAGTCGGGACAATAGTATAACTACCCAACATACGAGTAATAATTACAAACCCGAAACATCAAAAACATATGAAACATGTACCAAAAGTTACTTCCCAATATTCTAAGTGTCAACCAAAAGCTAACCCACCTTGCCTTTATCTCTACCCGTATCGATTTTTCATGAGATTTTTAAACTTAAGGGGATAAACGAATCGCTTAGCGAGTATATATTAAAGCATATAATTAGATGCAATATACATATATTAACAAAAGAATTAGGAGGCAAAACCGATTAATCTCTAGCTTTCAAATTTTTGCGGAACATATCACGTATAGAGTTAACAAAACCATAACGACTCACTGATCCTTAATACGTCAAATGAACACTTAATGATTCATAATTAAACCAGAAATTAGTACATAACATACCTTACAAGTTTGTAATTAAAAATTGGAATCAACGGGTTACATGTATGATTTCGGTACCGGATCAAATCAACGTATCAAGAAGTCATACAACTCACAAAGTACTTAGGGTCAATGAAACCATATCGATCATAATAATTCAGGAGCATGATCAACAAGAGTAGAGTAAATATGTGCACCACACCCCTTTTTCATCTGCTGGGCCCGTGCAAAGTACTCACACCCGACTCCTTACCATTCGGGATACGTGAGTACGATAACCGGTATGCCACACCCAACCTCCCTCTCCTTGGGATACGTGGACATACACCACGCTACGACATATCACACAAAGTAATACCAGTAGATCATAGTTTACCTATACACAAAAAGAAGGTCTTGAATCCAGACTCGACCGACATCTCGGAATGAACAACAAATACCAATTCAAGACCATGGGACTCGACACGCTCAAGATATTCGATAACACATGCAAATCAACTAATTTACAGTAAGAAAGCATATTCATATACATATAAGTATAAGTTCGATATAAACTCACAGTGCTTTAATGTAAACAACCGAATGCGGTAACATCCAATTCCAACCAACAATAGAATTAGACCTTCAAAGACTCTAAATAGCCTTAATATATCCCCTGGAGTAAACATTCCAAGTATCATTAATAAACTATATACCAATCTCAAGTTATACACTTTTAGACCTTGACTATCCTACTTTCATTTCCCCTGTAGAGCCCTCTGTTCATCCCATGTTTTACCACACTTAGACTCATAATTAGCCAATGACTTCTAAAGACTAAATAAAGTACTCTTATAGCTTTCTAATGCAATTGAACTCACATTTTTATGATTTTCTGTGATTTATTATGTTATTTACAACACAGCAGCTCAAAGCTGTCAAAATTCAGCTTTACAGCATAGTACATGTTGCAGTTTTTACCCATCTTAACTTCAATTTCACATTTTCATGTCTAAAGATGAATTKTAGTTCATTATGTTATCTTTCCAAGGACACTGATCTCATATTCATACGATTTTTCTTCAATTTTATACAAAATTTTAAAGTCTGCGTATTTGCATTGCCATTTCACTCGAAAATCTTCATTTTTGCAAGTTATAAAAGCCCAAACAGCTCCAAATTTCATCTTTACCATCATAAACATGATACATTACCATATTCTAACAAGAAATACACTTATTTATTAAAATCCATACCTATCATAGTTCTGATTTTACGATAATAGCAAGAAAACATAAACTAATCACCATCTAACATCAATATTATGTTATACAACCATCTTATAACATGAAAATACCAAAAATCCCAACCACATGAAACCCTAGACTTCTAAAATTCTTAACGAAACACCAAACAAATCATGAAATGGGTTCAAGATAGTGTTGTACCTTTGCTTAATCTTTCAATTTCACCAAAAATCTTGTTAAATCTCCTTGATTTTGAGCTTTGAGGAGATTATTATGTGAAAATCGCACCTTTTAGTGTGTGTGAAGGTTCTGGAGTCAAAATCTCATTTTTTGTACTATTTTGGTCAACAAGTCAACCTAGTTTGACACAGTTGGCAGATTTAGTCCCTCATGCGTATTTTGGTCGTTTCAACTCCGATTCACACGAAACTTTCCAGATCTCTTAATTAATCTATAAGAAGCTTAAGTATAAAATTTCAGCCTCTAATTCGATCCAGAAGTCCATATTCCAATCTAACTTTGATATTTTTCACTTATTTACTATAAGAACATGGGTTCCCCTATTTGGCCCTATAGTGCACACTTAGACATTTTTTTGTGTGCACTTTTATCATTTTCACTTTTCAACTAACATAAATAAGCACAAACCCATAATATACTTTATTGACTTAGTTAAACATGTTTAGCAACATAAATGGACTTTTAGAAAGTTGGATGTTACATTTATATTGTCCTCTAATTTATTAGCTGGTTTTTTTTCAAACATGATTACTTTTTTTTGGAAGGGCGTCCCTGAACTAATCCCGACAAATTATGACTGTAAGAAATCAACCCTAATAAACTCAATGACCACATCTGTTGTGTATGCTAGGAATCAGCCATGATTACTTTATCGGCTAACTCAGACTTTAGCCAACACGAGGGTTGTTAAGCTCACACCTGTTGAAAGACTTTGTAAGAATTGTTGGATTGTGCTCCAACTAGCTTTTCTACCTAACAATTGGATTATTTACCATTATTTAACTTATTAGCTAGTTTGAGGGCATGAAAGTGAAAGTTTAAAGGGAATAAAATACGATAAATAAAATTTAAAGAATGAATAAAATGTAAAAATATAGGTGTATTGGATGGTTTAGAAGGGAATTGAGTTTTATTTTAAGGGTATAATGGTAAAATATAAGTTTGTTCTACTTTTCCATGGGGTCAGTATGAAACATGTATATAACATTTTGTTACACTATATTCCTGTTTGTTTCATATAAAAGTAATATCAAATAAGAAACAATGATCCTTGTCTTGTGTACCAAACGTAGCCTTAAGTCAAAGATTTGGAAGACCCTCTTGGGTCCAACATAACCTAGCCACGACCTTATTGGAATTATTAGGGGTGTTTGGATGTCTGTTTGAACTGATTATCAAATTTGGAGAACTTTTTAAAATTGATTAGTAATTATTTATTATTTCAATTAATAAGATTTATTGAAATTAAATGTTTAAGATATGAAAATAATATTATTTAATTTGTATTGAATATTTTAACAATATAATTAATATTGTATTATCTAAAATGGAGAAATACTGTAGTAAATGAATGTAATTATTTTTGTAGATTCTGATAATTGGTCATTCACTTTAGAGAATATGTTGTAGATACTTTAACTGCGTATATATGAAACACAAAATAAACAGTCTTTACCTTTACAGATAGAATAACTGTTTTATGTACATCCTATATATTTCAAGATCATAATCAGTAGAATATCTTTTTTTTCCAGTTGATATGTTTATGACAATTGAAGTATTCCCTTGATCTGAAAGCATAACAGAATTCGCTTGATTGTTCGAACAAGGACCGAACTGGTCAAGGAACAATCAAGCCTGGTCAAAAACAGATTTGTGAAGGTCCTAATGTGCGAACTTGCTTCCATGGAAGCAATATTTAACTTCAGAAAAAAAAAAACAAATCCAACCCAGTCAAAACCGGAATCATTTGAACCAGACTTGTAAGGATTGAAATCATTATGAATCTTTTTTTTTTTGATTAACCTGGATGTCCAACCCGCTATGTGAGCCGACTAATTCCAGGACGACCACTAGCTTTGCAGATAGTCAGAGTCATCGCATTTGAACCTCCATGGCCACAAGAGAATTTTTATTCCTCATTGGATTTGAATCTGGGACCTCCTGGTATTTTTGACCYTTAGAGCCAAACTCAAATCAATCAGACACCACCCTTGTGGTTATCATTATAAATCTTTACTTTGATCAATAATGCATATCATAGTGTATTAATAAGCTTTAATGGTAGTGTTTCACCATTTATGATAGGGCTTCAACATTATACAAACAAAGGGTACTTAAAGAGAGACCAAATGAGCTGGGGTTACCCAAAAGTAAAGGCCAAGAGACCCTACACCCATCTTGCAATCCAAATAATAGAATTTTGAATCCTTCTCTTTCCTTCATCACATGAAACCCCCCTAAATTATTATCGTTTCGCAACTTCATCCATCCACACCCTCTATGACACGATACCTTCCCCCCCCCCTCCCCC